CATACAGTAGTTGTCATAATCGTGTGAATCTCCTCCTATTATCTCTTCGCTGATTTGATTCAATCAAACGATAGATAAAATTTGAATTCACTTTCTTTGCGATCGATTTATCTTTTAATATTAAACTACATGTACATAAGTTTATACACAAATTTTTTTTAACTTAACTTATACTAAATCAAACAGAATTATTAAAGTGGATTTTACAAAAAAAAATATGAATATTTAAATTTTATTTTTAAAAAATCCAATCTTACGATACATTTAGGCATTTTAATGGACTAAACATTTTTAGCAAATGTAACCCTTGATAATAATATTATGTTGAAGTATAACGTAGAGATTTATTTACAGAGTATATGTAAATTTTATTAACATTACAAATATCTATATGTGCTCTAAAAATCAATATTAAATCTATTTCCAAGAATTTAAGTTTTAGATTAAATTTAAATTCATATCTAATATACACTAATATAATAGTCACAAAACAAATAACCCGTATGTCTGGTCTGTCCAGTGTTGACCATTTCAACGCTTCTATGACCTATTTATGGGCTTTTAATGATTTTAAAAAATATATTAAAAGTAGTTTTATATCATTTTTAGCAGGAATTCATTTTCTATGAATGAGTTTTAATAAAACTTGTCATACAAATAGACCCACTTTATGTTTACAAACCATTGATTAGTAAACATTTTTATTTTTATCATTTATTGGTTTCAGAATTTGAATATTTTATCAAAATCAAAAATTGTGTTTTACTATAAATATGCTATAAGTTAATTAACAAGTGTTTAATTTAAGTAATTATACAATATTTAAATAAAATTATTAGATGAAATTACATATTGTATATAGTGTCATTAATAATAACATTGTACTAATATTATGTCCTTTTAGTATATTCATTAATAATTAAATTACTAGAAAATTAACTTAAATATGGTTTATATTAAATTAAAGAAATTAAAATTTATGTTGCATTAACTGTTACTAATAGTGCAGTCAGTATATCTCTCACAAGACGTTTTACAAATAAGTTATTTGAAATAACTTTAAAACTATAATACTGTAGATAATTAGATTTTATAAAAAGTATAGTATAAAGTCTCACAAGTTGCAGAAAGGTTGAGAAACATTAATTATCTAATTATAGGTAATTCATTTAGATTTCTCAATAAGATTACTGAATGTCAAATAATTCTTAATATATAATATTTAAAAAATAATGCCATAAATTATATATTATTAATGGAAATTCAAATTAAACCATAAGCCAAATACTGTAAACATAAGCCGTAAGTCAATTAAATGTATTAATATAAATGTAGAAATACACAAATTTTATTATTCCGTTACAAATTCACCCGGGATTACTTTCTTGTAATATATTTTCTCTTTGAAAAAATATCCATTCATTTATATCGCAAGAAATACTCTCATTTAATATCTCATAAAAAATATCATTACATTTCTTTGCATTTTTCGTGCGAAGACTGCGAAACATATTTGTTGTATTGGAAGTAATACTATAGAGTCTATTATAGACTATAATCTATTTAATTACAACATTTGAAATTTGTAATTTAAATTTTATTAATTATAATTATGTTTTATGTATTTAAATGCCGACCACTCTATTCGGCAATACTTCTAAGCGATTGATTAATAAACAGTTGAAATTTATTCAAAAATGTGAGTTTAATATTAAAAGATAAATCGATCGCAAAGAAAGTGAATTCAAATTTTATCTATCGTTTGATTGAATCAAATCAGCGAAGAGATAATAGGAGGAGATTCACACGATTATGACAACTACTGTATGACCGCATCGCCAGTAAAGTATATATAACTCTCTCGATGTATATCTATATAAGAGATGACACAAATTGCCAAAACTTCATACAATCAGTTTGGGTTTAAGTTTGAATTTTAAGTTAAAATTCAATTATTGGTATTGAAATGAATGCAAAAAAGACGACAAATCTGTTGGTAACTATAGTGGCGACGGCTCTGGTAGTGATACTATTACTGGACGTGACTTCGGCTCAAATCACTTTCTCAAAGGACTGGCGTCCGGGCGGTAAACGTGCCGTTGATAACTATGGCTGTCAACAAATGGCCGATTTGGCCGTTATTAAGATACGGGAACTCATCAGGGTGAGTTTTAGATTTATCATTATTTTTATAAACATTTTTGTTTAAATTGTAGCAAATATTCAAAGTCTCAATTCTTTAAGACAAGTATTAATATAAGTTTTAAAGTATACATAACTTTAAAGATACTCATACAACATAGTAATAACTATTTTGATAATTACAACATTTACTGATAATTATTGAATAAATCCTAAAAGATATTCAATCCCTAAAATTATATTTCACAATTGATATAAAATAGATTCTTATACAACATATTGATTATAATGAGAACGATATGATTAAAATATATGGTCTGAGATTAAAGAAGGGTCCTATAGTAAGCTACTAAAGCTGTCATGGTCACTATTCGACATAGCAATGAATAAGCATGGTCTGAAACTTTTATTAATGATGTCCTCATGTCTGTAAGACATCGGGTTTGTAAGTAATCGATACTTTTAATGGATAAATATTTTGTAGTAAAATCAATCATTATTGGGTAAATAGATCCATGATATATCAATCAAAAGGATTTGATGGTGAGTTAGATCCTAAAGAAAAAATTCGTTTCCAATATTAAAGGAAAAAGTTGCTCACGAAACAAAATATTTGTAACCTTATTTTTGATAAAACTTATCTTAGGAATATGTGAACAGAATAAATATAGACCTTTACCTATAGTTTATGTATATAATGGTGACTAAATCAGCTCAAGCGGCTTACTATAGGACAGTTAGTTCTTTGTAAGCTCATTAAAACTAATATAAATAGAATTTGTTAATATGTACTTTTTATAATCGCCTTTACTGTACAGATATTGTGTAATATTTGGTAAGACATAGTAAAGCACTTAAATTTTGAATTGCATGTCATTTAGTGCTTAAAGAGTTGTCAACGTTTTGCAATTTATTTGTATAATTAACTTTATATTTATATAATTTATTAATAATTAAAATATATTATTATTACCACAGAGAGAATCATTGAATATTCTTCACTGCGAGTCCGACAATCATATGACTGCACCCAACGATTCGGTCAAATAATTGGTTATCATTTGATTGCATATTATTTATGTCTCTAATAATTATTATATAAATTGTCATTTGAAATGTTATATTTGTTAATTATTTTATTTTATGTAATTATTTAACAAATTGTTAAATAAATTAAAGTTTTCCCAAAAAATTATTATTAAATTTGTTTAATATTAATTAAATATATTTATAAACACTATAATTATTGAGCAAGGTTTCATTGGATAAACAATAAACTCATTTATATTTCACAATAATGTGATTTAAAAGTCATTTATTAAAGCATATAATATTATTTGTTGCTTTAAATGCTTATTTGAAATAAATTATTTGAAATTGCATTGAAAATCAATTATTTATTTTAAAAATTATTATTAATTTGTTTTAAATAATATTTGAAATGATTGTCCTTGAAAAGTAAATCCAGTAAAAGTATAATTAAGTTGTATAAGAAAATAAAATTTAATCATTTTCCCCTTTAACAAATAAATTGTCAATAATTACTACAATTTAATTAAACGATTAAAATTTGATTTAAAAACCATAAGACTGTCCTTCACTTTGATATAAACAGTTGGAACACTCGTATGTTGTCTCAGATGTTATACAGGTTATTCACAATAGATTAGATTTATATCACTTACACCTGAAGATATTCGAATACCTGATATTCAATATTTTAAACACTAAAATTCACCATATGTTAAAGCTGTAGTGGACCAGCCGATTGGCAAATAGTGAACACGTGTTGTATAGCATAATATAATTAATTAAACACTTTTTAGTACTATTAGGTCGGTGTGAACGGTGATATAACGTTCAATTTTATCAGTGTTCCTAAATAACCTTATTTTGTACTAATATTTTATATCATACCAAATTGATACGAATTTTATATTGTAGATTTATTTAATTAAAGCTTGATAATTAGCGCAATAATTAGGTGCAATTTTTATTCTGTATAAATACTCAAAAGTAAAATTATACGTTGAGTTGTTTGGTGTGAATTATTAGTAAAATCATGGTTTCTCTCATCTCACTAACGATTGCTTTTGCAATTGAAAAAGTGCTCGGAATTGAGATTCTGTTCCGACAATTATATGATAAATTCAAAACAATGTTTGGATTGAATCCCAAATTAAAATACAAAAGATTTGATATGTTTGACGTGACATCAAATGACATTAAAAAACTCGGAATATTGCCTAATAATAAAGAATGGGAGTTAGAACTGCCTCATCCGGTAAATTATTAAATAATACATTCATTTTAATAAAATAATTTTACAATTATATAAAATTATAATTTTGTTAATTTATATTATATTTCATATTAAAAGACAAACAACGAAAAAGTGTCTATAATTGGAGTGAATTCGTGGGGTCAGGCGTTGAGATTAAATATTGATTGGAAACCTCAGTCTTCCAACACGTCTTCAATTGGAGTGAGTTTTCACTTCGAAGACGGAAAGGGAGGCATATATGAGATGAATGAGCAAAATCTGGTTCCGTATGACAAACATAAACGGGAATATAAAGCGCCGGGAATTTCGTTAGAAGTATTGAATCCATTCCGACGCTTAAGAATCAAATTTAGAGGATATCTAACAAAAAGCGGATCAAATGAAGTCGTTTTTGTCAAAATGAGACTCTTGTGGATCGCAATCTCCAATGTGTTTGACTTTGAATGCGATCACAACAAAGATTTCATTGAATGTGATCTTAAAAATAATTCAAAATTCAAATCAATGGATGAAATAAAGTTTGAGAATAGATTTGAACAAATGGGACAAATGAAGGGCACGTTTCAAGTGGACCATCAAAATGAAGAGAAATTGTTTTTGTGGGGAAATAAGAGTAAAAAGTATACCGAAGAAAATAATGGCCGAAAGATTTCTCGTCTATTCGGTTATTCAAAGGTATTTCAATATTCATATTTAAAATAATTTTTAATTATATCAATAAGAATAATAGCGATTTAAATGATGATCAATCAATTATTTGAGTATAATTTATAATTCAAGTGATGAAATTCAATAATATTCAAAAGCCTTGATCTCTAATTTAGAAATGTTTTAAGTCTTACATAAATAGTTTCATGTGAAGTGATTTACTATCACTAATTATAACACTAATATACTATGTAATAAAAAAGTTATCATAAACTGTAAGCATTTAGATAACAGAAATCAGATGTATAATTATATTTTGCAGATGTTTTAATACAAGTTTTAATTGTTGATAATTTTGCAATACTTAGTCTCAAATACTCAGTAGAAGATTAAAGAAATTGTGAGAAATTTGATTTATAAATTATAATCTATTTTATAAATTTAAAACATTCATGAAATGATGGCTATATCTAAAAACTTGGTATCATTATAATAGAAAGGATGGGTGTTTCACATCGGATCTGTTGTGGATCCGTCACAGGGAGTCAGTTATAAATATGGATTTGCGTTTTGGGGAAAATGTCTTATATTTCCGATCGACAGTCTTTCAGATATTCAAATCAATGAACATTTAATCAGAAAAGATAGCAATTTTACATTGAATGCAATCGGGAAAGCATTTGATATATCGTTAAGCAAAACTGCATTAAATGACAATATATTGGACATAAAGATCAATGGATTTGAAGGGAAAGCTGTGTTCATGAGTGAAGATGAAGATAATTATTTGGACATTGAAAATATAGACAACAATCTATACTTTCCGTACGCAAACACAACCAATGAATTAGTATTGTCTCTAAACGATAGAAAAGCAGAAAATGTGTTAACAAGTGGTGGAAAGGGCTCGTCATTGGCTTCACTCAACCACTTGAGTGCAAAACTCAAGAATTCAATTGATATCAGAATTCCTAAAGGAATTGTCGTCACTTGTAGTGCATATAAATTGTTTGTTAAACACAACAAACAAATCGATAGTTGTATTCAAAAGTTAAAGAGCGCTGTCGGGTATGAATGACTTATTAATAACATTTTTAATTAATATTAATTAACTCATTAAATATTTATAATGTTTTAATTAATAGCAAACCCGATATACTTCAGAAAGAGTGCAGTAATGTTGTGAATGCAATCAAAAGTTCACAATTACCGGTGGAAATTAAAAATAATATCCGCTCACAACTCGATATACTCTACGCTAACAATGATTTCAACGGCCAGTCTTTCGCCGTCCGCTCGTCTGCCGCCGGAGAGGACTCGGAGGAGATGTCAGCCGCCGGTCAGATGACCACATATTTGGGAGTCAGAGGATTGGATGAAATATACGATGCGGTGCTTAAGTGCTGGTCCTCTCAGTTCGACTTCATTGCCGTTGAATACAAGCGCGGATACGGACAGGACGTGGACTCAATGATGGCGGTTGTCATTCAAGAGATGGTTGACTGCGATTCTGCTGGCGTTCTCTTTACTTGCGATCCCGTGTCCGGAGACGAGACAGAGATTATAATTACCGGCAATTATGGCATTGGAGAGAGTGTTGTGTCCGCGATGTCAGAGCCCGACACTATTAGAGTGGCCCTCAATATTACAGATAATTCATTCAATAGCCGTACAGTTAAAGGCATTAAATCCATATCTATTGGAAGTAAAGCTAAAGCCATTAAAATGAATACTTCTGGCAGTGGGACAGTAGAAGTGGATACAAATGATGCAAATAGTTGTTGTATAAGTAATGAAAACGCACTAAAACTGACAAATATTGCATTAGAAGTGAGTTATTAATTTTATAACTGATTTTTATGACAATTTATTAATTATAAATAAAAATTTATTTTTAGATTCAAAAGTTTTTCGGAAGCGTTCGCGATATAGAGTGGGGTATTAAAGACGACCAAATTGTGATACTTCAGTCCCGACCCGTCACTAATCTGGACACAGGTTTTACTGAATTTGAATTAATGNTAATATGAATTACAGTAAAATATACTAAATATGGTAAACATTATTTAATGGATCCGTTTTGAAATTCATTATTATTTGTCTCTACTTTACAAAGAATTCCCTTTTGAGAGTCGAGAAGAGCCATATCTCCAGTCTTAAAGATATGACAAGCGTTGGTCACACCCACCAAACACGGGAGACCGTACTCACGGGCTATGACAGCGCCGTGCGATACCAGACCACCGATCTCTGTGGCGATTCCACCAATCATTGGGAAATAAGGAGACCAACCGATGTCTGTGCTGTACGTCACCAGAATATCGCCCGCCTTTACGTTTAAATTTACAATAATTTTAATTTCTTTACAAATAATTTTCAAATTAATTATTTACTTGAATATTGACGGCGTCTTCGAGATTGGGTGCCACACAAACTCGGGCCACAACTCGGCCGACGCTCACAGGCGTCCCCTTCACCATCTGGTCATCAGTTATTTTTATATCACTTTTATCCATAAGCTGTTAATATAAGCATTTTAATAATTATTGGCTTAAATGAAAACCTAATTGCTTCAATATGAATTCGTGTAGCTAGAATTTTGAAATTGGTTTCATAATTTTAGTTGACATCTCTAGGCACCAGAATAAAAGTTTCATCAAGATCGGAGCAATAGTTTAAGAACAGGAATTTTTCAAAGTGTGTCACTCATTTTAATGTATTCCTATGGGAGAGGGTCCGTTTTTGTATTTTCCGATGGTTAAAATCATAGTTAAATTTATCATGTTTAAATACTAATAGAGTTAATTCAAAACCCTTCCTCTTCTGAGACCTTTATTATTCAACGCATAAAACCAAATGGTATTCATTGGCCAACATTGACCGCTACCCCAACTGTGGCCACACAAAAATCGGTGATTAACCCGATTGGCGGCCTGTGTTCGGTCGGTTCGCAATTGATTCCCGTTATAAATAATGTCATGATATCTGCACTAAACTATTGTCTGATAACTAATAGTTAATCCCAATAACCAAATAATCACTTCAAATACATCTTTAGTAAAAATATTTTCACTTTAAAAATAAGATAATTTTTAGTCAAATATTTTGTTGTAAATTTTGCAAAATAATTCTGACCGACAAACTTTGAAAAAAATCCTGTTCATTAAATACTCATCCCATCTTGATGAAACTTGGATTCTAGTGCCTAGAGATGTTAACTTAAATTATGAATCCAATTTAAGAATTCTAGCTACACGAATTTATATTGAAGCAATTAGGTTTCCATTTAAGCCAATATATGATTTTTAACTTTAATGACAATCGTTTACATGTCTCGGTTGGAAATCATATCCCGAAACTATTTCATCAAATTTCCAGTCATTCATTTGGTGGTGAAGTCTTCGTCTCTGTTTTGCTTTCCGTTACTCTTATCCTAAAGAACTTAGTTACTTCACGACCTGGAGTAGCTGTCAGTACACTTTATCATCAAGGCTGAGTCCTTACTCAGGAAGCCTCACGTAAGACAGCCGGTTTCTGGTGTCGCGGAGACGACTCAAATCCCAGCCGTAAATCATCGCTGATTTGGTGGACTCTCTCATGGCTACAGCTCTTCTCGCGAGCGGTAAAACGATTTGTTTTAAAAGAAATTTTCTCTGAAAACTTAACGGAGTTTTCAAGGAATCGACAATTTTAGTGACCGAAACCTTTTCAGTTGTCTTATAAGTGGATGCGTCGCCCGTAAGCATTGTCTGTCATTAGTTATAATTATAGATTAGTATTGAGTGATATTATGATAAAAGACATACTTTGAGCGATTGTATGAGAGGAATGGCATTGTATTTCCAGGGTTTGCATAACGGCTCGAACTCCTTATACCCTCTGTGGCCGTGTTCTGCGATGAAGGCTCGGAATTGTTGACCGCTTTGATTGGAATTGTGTTTTAAATACTCCAAAGCCTTCTCATCCGATAGAGCCCTAAATTCTTGTGGATTTTCAATAGCCTGAGCCAACTGTCTTAGTGCTGAGGGCACGTCAGCGCTCACCAATTGTCCGCACGAAGACATCAAGTATGCAAAATCATTGTATAGATGCGGATCTATACATTTATCATCATAAAATATGTAAAAACATTTTTGGGGTTTCATTATGCATTAGACTCACTATTTTTCTCTTTAGATAAAATTTTCATCAAATAGTGATTATACAACGAGGAAGCCATCGTTGACTTTATAACTTGATATGAAAGGATATAATACATTACTAATTGATAATTATTTAATTTGATTTTTAATACATTACTATTTTCGTTTGGAGTTATTCAAACGTAGGAACACTACACTCGCGTAGCTTGACAAGAAAGATTGTATCAAACTTTTGGTCTAAAATATATCGTTCTCTACGAATATTATGGTTAAACCGATTGACAAAAAGCTGTGGAAAAGCCATATAAGGGGACAAATGAAGATTTCGGCGGAATTTAAGGCTAAACGATTCGGGTGTTGCGATTTCTTGACAATCATCTATAATTTCCTGATCCATTTCGTGACCAAAAATTGATATAACCATTGCTTTGCAATAATCAGAATCGTTGTCATTTGAGAGTTTGAGAAATTCAGACTAACCAACAAAAATTAATCATGTTTTAAATTACTTTAACTTTTGCAAAAATATGCCATATTTAATCATTAATGTACTATGTGAATGTAAAAATTATAATTTTTTGTATACTAATAATTATAATCGCTACAGATGCCCTCGCATGCCTGTCATGTATAAGTTTCCGTTCGGAAGGCAGATATGCAAGTCGTAGATCATAAGAGGCATCCATTGCTTGAAATTATATGTTAAATTAAGTGACGAGGTGCATCCCGGGATTACCTGTTTAATTAATTGTTATTATTAATATCAGGCACATTTGTATTTGTAAAATGTTTTGCTTACTTCTCCGACATTAGCTTTGGATAAGTATTCCTTCTCAGAAGGCATTCCCACATCTATTTCATGCATTAATTCAAATTCAGTAAAACCTGTGTCCAGATTAGTGACGGGTCGGGACTGAAGTATCACAATTTGGTCGTCTTTAATACCCCACTCTATATCGCGAACGCTTCCGAAAAACTTTTGAATCTAAAAATAAATTTTTATTTATAATTAATAAATTGTCATAAAAATCAGTTATAAAATTAATAACTCACTTCTAATGCAATATTTGTCAGTTTTAGTGCGTTTTCATTACTTATACAACAACTATTTGCATCATTTGTATCCACTTCTACTGTCCCACTGCCAGAAGTATTCATTTTAATGGCTTTAGCTTTACTTCCAATAGATATGGATTTAATGCCTTTAACTGTACGGCTATTGAATGAATTATCTGTAATATTGAGGGCCACTCTAATAGTGTCGGGCTCTGACATCGCGGACACAACACTCTCTCCAATGCCATAATTGCCGGTAATTATAATCTCTGTCTCGTCTCCGGACACGGGATCGCAAGTAAAGAGAACGCCAGCAGAATCGCAGTCAACCATCTCTTGAATGACAACCGCCATCATTGAGTCCACGTCCTGTCCGTATCCGCGCTTGTATTCAACGGCAATGAAGTCGAACTGAGAGGACCAGCACTTAAGCACCGCATCGTATATTTCATCCAATCCTCTGACTCCCAAATATGTGGTCATCTGACCGGCGGCTGACATCTCCTCCGAGTCCTCTCCGGCGGCAGACGAGCGGACGGCGAAAGACTGGCCGTTGAAATCATTGTTAGCGTAGAGTATATCGAGTTGTGAGCGGATATTATTTTTAATTTCCACCGGTAATTGTGAACTTTTGATTGCATTCACAACATTACTGCACTCTTTCTGAAGTATATCGGGTTTGCTATTAATTAAAACATTATAAATATTTAATGAGTTAATTAATATTAATTAAAAATGTTATTAATAAGTCATTCATACCCGACAGCGCTCTTTAACTTTTGAATACAACTATCGATTTGTTTGTTGTGTTTAACAAACAATTTATATGCACTACAAGTGACGACAATTCCTTTAGGAATTCTGATATCAATTGAATTCTTGAGTTTTGCACTCAAGTGGTTGAGTGAAGCCAATGACGAGCCCTTTCCACCACTTGTTAACACATTTTCTGCTTTTCTATCGTTTAGAGACAATACTAATTCATTGGTTGTGTTTGCGTACGGAAAGTATAGATTGTTGTCTATATTTTCAATGTCCAAATAATTATCTTCATCTTCACTCATGAACACAGCTTTCCCTTCAAATCCATTGATCTTTATGTCCAATATATTGTCATTTAATGCAGTTTTGCTTAACGATATATCAAATGCTTTCCCGATTGCATTCAATGTAAAATTGCTATCTTTTCTGATTAAATGTTCATTGATTTGAATATCTGAAAGACTGTCGATCGGAAATATAAGACATTTTCCCCAAAACGCAAATCCATATTTATAACTGACTCCCTGTGACGGATCCACAACAGATCCGATGTGAAACACCCATCCTTTCTATTATAATGATACCAAGTTTTTAGATATAGCCATCATTTCATGAATGTTTTAAATTTATAAAATAGATTATAATTTATAAATCAAATTTCTCACAATTTCTTTAATCTTCTACTGAGTATTTGAGACTAAGTATTGCAAAATTATCAACAATTAAAACTTGTATTAAAACATCTGCAAAATATAATTATACATCTGATTTCTGTTATCTAAATGCTTACAGTTTATGATAACTTTTTTATTACATAGTATATTAGTGTTATAATTAGTGATAGTAAATCACTTCACATGAAACTATTTATGTAAGACTTAAAACATTTCTAAATTAGAGATCAAGGCTTTTGAATATTATTGAATTTCATCACTTGAATTATAAATTATACTCAAATAATTGATTGATCATCATTTAAATCGCTATTATTCTTATTGATATAATTAAAAATTATTTTAAATATGAATATTAAAATACCTTTGAATAACCGAATAGACGAGAAATTTTTCGGCCATTATTTTCTTCGGTATACTTTTTACTCTTATTTCCCCACAAAAACAATTTCTCTTCATTTTGATGGTCCACTTGAAACGTGCCCTTCATTTGTCCCATTTGTTCAAATCTATTCTCAAACTTTATTTCATCCATTGATTTGAATTTTGAATTATTTTTAAGATCACATTCAATGAAATCTTTGTTGTGATCGCATTCAAAGTCAAACACATTGGAGATTGCGATCCACAAGAGTCTCATTTTGACAAAAACGACTTCATTTGATCCGCTTTTTGTTAGATATCCTCTAAATTTGATTCTTAAGCGTCGGAATGGATTCAATACTTCTAACGAAATTCCCGGCGCTTTATATTCCCGTTTATGTTTGTCATACGGAACCAGATTTTGCTCATTCATCTCATATATGCCTCCCTTTCCGTCTTCGAAGTGAAAACTCACTCCAATTGAAGACGTGTTGGAAGACTGAGGTTTCCAATCAATATTTAATCTCAACGCCTGACCCCACGAATTCACTCCAATTATAGACACTTTTTCGTTGTTTGTCTTTTAATATGAAATATAATATAAATTAACAAAATTATAATTTTATATAATTGTAAAATTATTTTATTAAAATGAATGTATTATTTAATAATTTACCGGATGAGGCAGTTCTAACTCCCATTCTTTATTATTAGGCAATATTCCGAGTTTTTTAATGTCAGTTGACGTCACGTCAAACATATCAAATCTTTTGTATTTTAATTTGGGATTCAATCCAAACATTGTTTTGAATTTATCATATAATTGTCGGAACAGAATCTCAATTCCGAGCACTTTTTCAATTGCAAAAGCAATCGCTAGTGAGATGAGAGAAACCATGATTTTACTAATAATTCACACCAAACAACTCAACGTATAATTTAACTTTCAGTATTTATAAGGAATGAAAATTGCACCTAATTATTGCGCTAATTATCAAGATTTAATTAAATTTACACTAAAAAATTTGTATCAATTTGGTATTATATAAAATATTAGTACAAAATAAGGTTATTTGGGAACACTGATAGAAATGAACGCTATCACCGTTCACACCGACCTAATAGTACTTAAAAGTGTTGATTGGAATAATTAGTTAAACAGATTATAACACGTGTTCACTATTTGCCAATCGACTGGTCTTGATGTCGAAATTGTATACCACTTAAAATCACAAATTTTATAACTTATAGTCCATAAGCTTATAGAAGTCCACATTCACTATATTTAGATTAGATAACACTTATTGGACATATTGTAGACTCTGTTG